ATGAGTAATATAAATATTACATATTTTGTATGTAAAACATACATAGATCTATACATCTGTTTCATTTTCCCATTAAACATATACTCTTAAGGTGAGAAACCATCACTTGTATACTGCTTACCCAGCTTGGTGTTTAGCACCATAATTAAGCATTCAATATATACTGGAATGAATGGCAGAATATCGTATATGAATCCATCTATTACGTGGTGTTAAGTGTCTTTTCTAAACTTCGGCCATTTCTACTTAAGATAGTTTTATCACAACTGACACACATATTTAAAACGGTCATGTTTCCAACTAAATCATTCCTCCATTTCATTTCAGTGCATTTTGGGTTGCTTTTTCAATTTATTAAGTATACTTAATCTGATCCTCTCAGCTGTCATTAGTCTGTTGAAATTTACTAAAATGACTTGCTGTTTAGTGAAATACTAAAAGAGTGCCAGGCTCATTTTAATTCCTTTTCCATGAACTTGGTAAATTCCTCCTAATTACTTTTAAGTGAGACTCTTTGGATATTTTCAACAATAAATATTTAATATGGAAGATTGAAGCAACATCTTAATAATGCTGGTATATTCTTGCTTCTAGATGCTGCACTGGGCAAACCATCCATAAAATATATCCGATGATGGATTTTTCTTCTTTTAGTAAAGCCATTGTCATTTCTCACAAAAACTGCTAGTGAATGCAAATTTATTCTTTGGTTGTCTGGTGGTTTTGCTGGTTGTGAACATCAAACTGCTTTTTCAATTTCCAAATTTACCATTTATCTTGAAGTATTACTTTAATTCTTTATCTTCTTGCTGTGAAAGTATAATTTTAAATGTAAATACAATTAAAATCAGAAAAACATTTTTTATTATGTTTTCAGCCATCTGTGTACCTTTCAACACCTTCAAGTGCTTCTAAAGCAAATACATCTGCTTTCCTAACTCCATTAGAAATCAAAGCTAAAGTAGAAACAGATGATGGGAAAAAAAATTCCCTGGATGAACTTAGAGCCCAGATTATTGAATTGCTGTGTATTGTAGAAGCACTGAAAAAAGATCATGGGTAAGTAGCCCTTGATTTTTCCTATGAATGCCACTTAGCACATGTATTAATATAAAGAATTCTTTCAAACTCTATCAAGTAAATATCTAATCTGCCAAATCTTTGGTATGAGCAAGTATGTTTTCAAAGAAATTTTCATTAATAGCGCTTTTCTCCTTTTAGCAAAAAGCTTGAATTGGAAAAGTTGTTCTAGTAGCTCAATTATGGAAAAGGTACATATGCAACTGATTTTAGGCTAGAAATTTTCTGGTTAGACACAGGTTAATTAGTTTTGAAAATATTAGGGCAGCCATATTGTATTTTGGATCTGGTCCGTATCTGTGTACATGGTTAGCTTACTTCTTAGAGGACTTTGATTACTGTTTCTGCTAGGGTTGAATTAGACATGTATAAAATGAATGGGTTGAGATAGGTGATCTCTGCAGCCTTTCTCTTAACTCTGGGAGTTTTTGATAGGGCATAAAAATTAGGGACTTTTTAGAGCTAAAATAAATGTATAGGATCAATCACTACAGGTGATCCCTCTCTTTTTATAAATGAAAAAAATGAAAGGTCGGAGAGGTAAAAGTATTTACCTAAGACCACACAGTTCTTAAATGACAGATCTAGAACTCAAATTCATATCATCTGTTGGTTTAGAGATCTTTTCTATAACCACTAGTATTTGAATTTTAAAACTTATTGACATTTTAAGCATAATTCTGCAAAACTAGGTAAAACAGATCAAAGAGCAGCTAATGTAATTGAACTGAGGGTGAGAGTCCTCACCCACTTCCCCTTCACAAGGATTTCTTGGAATATGGAATAAAAACCATGACCAGAGGCCATGTTGTCGCTGAGCCTGATTTTACCATTACTCTCTCAATTCTAAACTGGCCTAGGAGTCTTATTAAAAACAATATTGAGATTAGTAGAGGTATTTGGAGTTCTCAGAACACTCTTGCAGTATCTCTTAGTTGGAAACAAAAGTGTCTCTTTTTTTTTTTTTTTGAGACAGAGTCTCACTGTGTTGCCCCGGCTAGAGTGCCGTGGTGTCATCCTAGCTCACAGCAACCTCAAACTCCTGGGCTCAAGTGATCCTCCTGCCTCAGCCTCCCGAGTAGCTGGGACTACAGGCATGC